CTTACAAATACTAAATTTAAATCTAAATACTATTTGGTAACCTGCTTCGCTTGATGAATGGTTGAATAAGAATGGTACTTATTAACTTATCATTTCTTCTATTATAAACTATGATTTGAAGTAAAATAAATGTAAACATAGCTACTTACCATCTATAAACATGATAGTATTGTTATTTAGAATATATAATTTTGAATATTTCTTACAAACATATCCAATTTCGCATCTTTATATAACTTTATACTTTAGGAGCTATTGCTACGTTCACCTCCAATCTCTATTAGGTGGCTGGCCAATCAGACTCGCTGCAATTCTAATAATTGTTAGAGCCAGGTTACTGATCAAAGAACCAAATTACTGTAGTCAAAGGTTAATCAGTCACAACGCTTACTCTACTTATATATGTACTCTACAACACAGTTGTAACTGCCCTCAGTATTCAGACAAATAAAAATCTTGAAAAGCATTGAAGGAATTCATGCATGCAATGAATTTTCAAATGATAAAAATTTCATCCGAGTTAACTGGGGAGTACTAATTGGATATGGATTGTTACTTGGTTCCCTTAAAACTGCAATTTTAGGGCATTGCCGATGTATCATGTTCATCCTAGGATAGACCTTATTTGAAGTGTTGTTTTGTCTTTCTAATGACTGTACCTTCTTCATCTAAATTTGCCTCTAGATCTCAGATCTAGATGATGGATCCTCAATAACAAGCACTAACCCACTGGAAATACACTGAATGTTTAGAAAGATATGATTCTTCCATTTTCTTGATATCCATTGATCTGATCTATAAATGACAGCAACAATACATCAGAACTGAAGTCGAATCGAATATGATTTAATAAGATGCAAGAAGGAACATCTAATATTTGGTGCTTGTTTACTGTGATGGAGATAGTCCCACTCCTCAACGCACAAGCTTGAAGAAGCACTCGCAAATCTGAGTCACAGTAAGCTACTTTTACAAGGCTTCAAAGTGATTCCATATCTAATCCTATAATCCGGTAGAAGCAGACGATATCATACGTGACTGGTGAAATTCCATAGAGCTAGAGCTCGACCCAAGTCACTTTATATAGACAAATAGACATTGGTCGACCACGTCAGAGAAGTGTAACGATTCAGTAATGCAGCCAAAAGCGACATCAACATCCTTCTGTCTTTCCTGTTAAAAAACTTTCATTTTGCTCACAGTCAGAATCTATTCGGAATGAGGACTTGAATCTCACAGGCCTGTAAGACACCAGAAGTTCGCCATGAACAAGAGATGTATAGAATCTGAACTCTACATGTTACGTAACAACCAGAGCTCGTAATCTCCTCTGCAATCATTGCAAGTCCAGATTCTCATCGCAGGCGGATGGACGAATATGAATGAATGACTCAATTGAGATAGCCTCTCAGTTACAAAAGGCGAACTGAACAAAAACTGTGACCAATTTTTTGAATACGAAGCTATGGAAAGAGAGAAGACCAATCACTCCAGATAATATAATACGGCACCGAGTGAAGAGATTCAAGGATACATGACCAACTAATCTATAACGCTTTCAGATGAGATAGCTTCGTCTTGGTAGTTGAAAGTTGTTGGTATAACGGGGCAATAGAGGGACTTTGTGTAGAGAGCATGATAAAGTTGATCTTGGGCACGTTGCATTACAACTTGATCTGCTATCAGCAAAGCCAAGTATCAAGCAGTTCAAATTCCTTTTCACATTCACTTAGCTCTCTGCATTGATCTAGAATCGGTACAAACTTTGTACTTTTGGTGAGAAAATTCTGAGATGGGAAGGACAACTTCGTGCACATTACATAGTTCCCTCGCTATTCTATTATTCTCAACCTGCAACCTTTCCTAGGTTTTGGAATTGGTCTATAATCTCAGTCAGTGATTGCAGTAACTTACAGAAAAGGACTGTGACTGAAGTAAGCGGTATGCACGTGCACTTTCACTTAGAGACGGAGAGGTAATAGGGTGGAACTCCAGTGATAGCAAATTTAAGATTGTATAACTAAATGTTAATCCCGTGCAGGCTTTGCAACAAAACTATCCGAACTTCAACGCAAAATTCGTCGACGACAGCTAGAATAGTTAGCGGAGTGCCAGCTTTCTCCCATCTCAAACACCCAAAAAACAAACGAGGAAGGCCTTCAGTTCGCTTGTGCAGATAGACAGATGGTTCTAGCTCTTAGAAAGGCCACGTATCAGGCACAGCGCTGATGATAATCGCCAGCAAAGGGTGAGGTTGAAATGTCTCCAGATCGAGTAGTAGGAGCGATCTTCTGATCCAGGGCAGGCGGAATCTGTTGCAAAGTCATGGACTCCGTTGGAGATTCGCTGAGACAAAAATCAAAGCTACACTATTAGCACTGCCAAGAGAAGCTTCGAAACATCACGAACGAACTGGTCGGCCAGTTCTTTGGCGCTTGAAGAAGACAGACATGCAGACGTGCAAAACTCGGCTGGGGCCAACACAACACCGCTCAGCACCATCCCGTCCGACATTTCGAGCCTAGGTTCCTTAACGTGCATGAGGCGGCGCGTCAGCGTGTCTGCCTCAGCGCCCTCAGGCCTCAACGATCCGCGGTTGGCGCCACGTGTAGGCTCCGTTCATGCATATGTAGGCTCCCTTTTCTGCTCAGCCGATGATGACTACGTTCTCATGGCCATCAACCTTTCTTGAATCCAGAACGTTTGGTACGCTGGCCAAACGCCCACTCCATGCTTCATGCCTAGGGCCTACCACCCTATCCAGGCGCCAGTAGGCTACAGTATTGTAAGCTTTGGTCATCTACTCTCGTTCGCCGTATTGTACTCCGAAATAACGCAGACGTGGACCGGGGACAAAAACGGCGATGCATGGAAGGAACACGACAGACATGATGCTTAACTCGAGTTAGTCCAAGGGCGCAAATAGGGAGGGTCACAGGCGCATGCCAACCGTGCAATGCATTCTACACAAGAGCAATGCATATCCCTTTTGGGAAAATGATGGGCAAATCGAAATGTGATGATGCTCTCTGCCCGATCGCTCTTGCCCAAGCATCAATGGAGCATGCTGAACGTCATAGCGCTTGGATTATTATTTTTCTGAATCCTCTGGCCCAGAATATTGCGCAAAAAATCTGTAATATCTTTCTGTAGTAATTAAGGAGATATTGTGTCTAAAACGAAAATGCGAGAGAAATTTGAGTGGAGTATAGCGAGGGATGGACAAGACATTCATTATAGAGCATAAAGCTCAAGAAAAGAAATAGCCGGAAGATGCTGAATGAAACGTTGAAGCCTGAGTCCTAGAATTATATGAAGATCATAGCACGAAAGTCCAATGTTGTTTAATTTTGGTCGAGGACCTCACGAAGGTTACAGAGGGAATAACCAGTCTTGATTATTTTAGCAATTGTAACCTGCGAGGAGAGAAGAAATCGCTTGTGTCTTCTATCCAGCCAGATCGTTCAAATCCAGAAGAAGGTAGCGTTTATCTTTAGAGTTACATCCAGAACATCGTGATAGAACTCCTCATCAAGTAAGAGTGAGTGAAACATTTCCTAGTTCTTTGTCGAACTAGGCAATGAATCAAAAACCTTTACCTTACATGGCAGGAAGATTTGCGCATAGTCTGTATCAAAAACTTCTAGAAGATTCTGATATAGTGGCTTCAAATCTGTGTCATTGCAGAAAACAGCACAACAATGTGCGATAACCGTTAATACAACAGTGCAGACAACAAAACCATGACCTTTCCTGTCTTCAGAGTTGCGATATAAAAATCTTCTGTATTCCAGACAAAACACAATAATGCCAGAATTGTGAGACAGTTGAACTTTCGTCAGGCAGTTGAACCTTCATTGGATGTACCTTATCTAAGTCTAAACATTCAACCCCTGGGCACTATCAGGCAGAAGACAAAAGTACTCGGAAACTTCAAGATACTTCAAAAGAGGACAGTGACGATCCTGGTCAACCGAATAAGAAAACAAAAGCAAATCTTAGTTCGCTCACAGGAGTATCGAAAGTCAAATAGCGACTTGAAAGAAGTGGTCACTCCTCTAGGCTCAGATGGTGCAGAACTCTCTTGGTAGAAAACATAATTGGGGTCTATCCCCATGTTCCCCATTTGGGTTCATACCTGCACGACCAGAAGGGCTTTCCATTCCTTTTGCTACATTAATCGGCGACCACCTCAAAACCTGATGATAGAATAGCAAGAAAATCATTAAAGACATGTAAATGATCCTGCAGATTGTTCATAGTAAGAAGTAATGGCTGTCCCCTTCATGCCACCATGCCTCATCACCAAAATTAAAGAAAAAGAGACTTATACCCGTTGGTCAGCTTAGGACTTATTATGCTAGGAGCACCTTTGGAACTGAAAATTATACACTCCGGTCAGGTCATTTGACTGGAAAATTGACTCCTGGAGCATTGCGCCAGAAATGAAAGTGACATGTGACTCCGACACAGAACCAGTCTCCTTTCAGCTTCATTTCATCTACCCCTATCAAATGGCCTTCGCCCTTGCCTTTTACATGTGCATCCGAATCGAAGCCTCGGCCGGAAAGGGTATGGAGTCTGGACGCAAGTTCTCGCAGGGGGGACAGGTGGCAGGATGCCAAGCCCGGCGAACTGGAAGAGTGGAGGACGTCAGTCCGACCTCAGACCTGCTCCGCGGATACTGCACACCCGCCGCCAGCTGCCAGCATCTATTCGGAGCTGCTTGGCGTGAGGCCCAGACCTCACGCCCGACAACCGTTGAGAAAGTGCGAAGGCAGGGACGGTGCCGCTGCCCTTTATGGAGAGGTGACCTCATGAACTGCAGACGTATAGTACAAATTTGCATATATGTACCAAAATCGTATCTACCTGCCCAGATATGTCGGATACTCGTCTCTGTCGCAAGGTGGGGACCACCAGCCATCTCATCACATGCCGCATTTGGTACATGATGGTAGGACTGCGGCGACATATTCATGTTGATGTCTGACCAAGAGCCCAGTATAAGTTGGTCGATTCTCGCATGTCTTGAGAAGCTCAACAGCAGTGCCGACGCTAGCGGGCCTCGCAAGGAGAGGGAATTCGAATTGCAGCGCACACACAGCGGTAGGAACAGCAGCGAGAGGGAGAGGGAGAGATAGGGAGGCAGGAAGTCGAGCGTTGAGAGAGAGAGGTGAAGATGGCGACGTCCGCAGCGCCTGAGGGCGATCCCTGGTTTGAGAAGAAGCATGGAGGGACTCGATTATGGGGCGATACTGGAGAGGGGCGGAATCCTTTCTCCCGCAGGTCCAGTTTGGAAGTGGACGAGGATGATTTTGAGGATTTGAAGTGGGCTGCGCTCCAGCGATTACCCACAGTTCAAAAGCAGGTTATGGCTTGTCTTGATACGAACCTCATGATGGAGAATGGAGAATTGGGCGAGAATGGAGAATCAGGCGAGGGTACTGCAGGAAAGGATGGTAGGGGGGGATTAAATAGACGGGGGAGAGCTCCAATGGATCACTATGACATACGCAAGCTCAACAAGTTTCAGAGGTCCAAGGTTGTGGACACAGCGTTCAGGACCAAAGAACATAATAATGAGTACCTATTGAGGGAAATTGAACAGCGTCTTAACAGGTCAGAATTCCTGGTTGCGATAAAGATAGGTCCATGTGTTTGATGACGCTGTCAGATTCTATCCTTTCTTCGATTTCCCCAGTGTTCCTCATAAAGAGTATGTTGTTTACTTGTGTAGGGTTGGCATCAGTCTCCCCAATGTCGAAGTGCGTTTCAATGATCTGTCTGTGAACGCTGATATTCATGTTGGGAGCCGAGCACTTCCAACCCTGCTTAACTTCTGCCGCAACATATTTGGGGTGAGCATTCTACTGTATGTGAAAAGTGTATATATAAATAAAATCCTATTTTTCTGAAATACTACTAAAAATTGATCATCAGTATTTGCAATGAGCGATGAATTACGCTGGAGTGTTGAAAAAAGGACATGTATTACAGTGAGGAGAAATTGCATTTTGAAGACCGAATACAACGCTTCTCTTGCATACAATTGACTTTATACCGAGATGTAGGAATGAGATTTGAGCTCTGTAGTACTTGCTACGTATGATGTCAACAGGCATGTAGGTGAATACTAGCACTGCTCACATACAGATAACAAAATGCGCATGATGGAATTTGTTTACAACTTTCTTCCTATATGCACTGGAGTCAAATAATTTCAGTAAATCATCCCATGTAAGGTAGTGAGTCTAAGTTGCTGTTCAGATACCTGGGCACAGTCAAAGGAACACACATTGTGAACTTCATTTTGTTTTTACTGATATTGGAGCTGTTTATTGTCCCCAATATGACAGGACTTACTGTCGACGTTGAAGATTTCGAAACCCAACAAAAAGGAATTTCGTATTTTGAATGGAGTTAGTGGTGCTGTGATTCCTGGGAGGTTAGTCTATAATTTTTCAGGTTTCATGATTCTTTCAGTGTCGTGCAACTAGAGAGACTCTGCAATTGAATATATTTCGTATCATATAGCGCATAGAGGTAACTGCACGTAGCAGTACTAATATAATCATTGCGTGTTATGCAGGATGACGTTGCTGTTAGGACCCCCTGGATCTGGAAAAACTACTCTCTTGTTGGCCCTTGCAGGCAAACTTGACAGCTCGCTGAGGGTAACTTCAATTTGCTGTCATAGGCATGATGATTGCTAGTAGATATATGCATACACATGAACATTGGGAACTTCATATCTGAAGGGCGGCTGAATTTGCTTTGCCGCCAGCAGTCACTATAAATCATCATGCTAGTGTTTGCTGTGGCATGCAAATACATTTATTTCTGGAATTACCTTATGTTCATTCATTACTGTAACTGCACGTAGCGAGTGAGTGCGCTTTCTTCGCAGATTTGGATTATTTTTTAAGACAGTGAGATTGCATGCTGAAGAGATTTTTTTGGTTGACTGGATTGGTGTGTTGTGACTCAATTTTTTCCGTGAGGATTCATTTGCCTTTGCAATCCAATCTCAAAGGATGGAAATATTCAAAATGAAAAGATTTAAGCTGCTTATGGTTGATACTCATCATCGTTATATCAGTCTTGTTCAATGGATTCTACAATACGTTGCTGCTTATTGTTTCCTATCATTTACTTTCTGCACATAGTACATAGAAAATATAACTTTCATGTTATCAAATTCTACGAGAAAAAGTATACTTGTGAATATATTTTATGAAATACAAGCTTCATACCGCTTGACACAAATGATCTCAGTATCAGACATTTTTCTGAATTAACCTTACTTTAGTTAAATTTCAAGCTCTTGTATCAAGTTGATGTGTTTTGATATAATCTTATGCTCGAAACTCTGAACAAAGTTTCATGACTACTCAAATTTGTCGACAGTAGGAAAAGAATCTCTTGAATGCAACATAGAAAAATGTAAGGAATTCAGACATTGTTCATGGACAGGAAGGTAGCCTATCTGGCAAGGGCTATTACTTTGCAAATTTATTTTTTTACGAAATATTTTTTGTTACGTGCAGAAATCAGGCGAAATTACTTACAATGGATGCAACATGTCGGAATTTCTGCCCCAACGAACGTCTGCATACATTAGTCAAGTAGACAACCATATTGGTGAACTCACAGTTCGTGAGACATTAGATTTCGCAGCTCAGGTTCAAGGGACCGGTTATAAATATGGTAACTTTTTCATCTCAATATATTTCGTCGTCTTGAGAATGTATAGACGTAGTAATTCATGTCTGTATCTTCTGGAAATACTTTCCAGATTTATATTAGTGTAACCCAGTATTGGGATTTGTTCGTGGACTTGTTCGGAAAGTATAACCGTGAAGTTGTTGCAATTGTAAATAGGGATGATGGCAGAATTAGCCCGTCGGGAGAAAGCCCAAGGCATCAAACCCTCTCCAGAGATTGATGCATTCATGAAGGTAAGATCTGGCAGTCAGAAGTTCAGAGTCACTAAATAGCAATCAACAATCCTATGTAAATCTACCATAATTCTAACTTTCCTTTATCATCAATATGTGAAATGTAGTAATCAACTAACCTCTGTCACTTTCCGTGAGTTCAGGGTGTTTCAATTGAAGGACATAAACACAGTATCAACACCGACTATATTTTGAAAGTTCTGGGCTTGGAGATGTGCGCCGATATATTGGTTGGTAATGACATGGTGCGGGGCATCTCTGGCGGACAGAAGAAACGAGTGACATCAGGTAAGGTTATTCCATGGGGTTGCTATGTGTGCATGTTCTGCCGTGCGTTGTTCTCTAGATCAGTGACTTAGAAAATTTTCGTTTTCCTTTCTAATCATCTATGAACGTTGTCTTCAGGTGAAATGATTGTAGGACCAAAGAAAACACTCTTCGCGGACGAAATTTCAACGGGTTTAGACAGTTCAACGACGTTTCAAATTGTCAAATGTTTACGGAATTTCACACATCTTCTACAAGGAACAATTTTGATGGCACTTCTGCAACCTGCACCAGAAACCTTCAATTTGTTTGATGATATTTTGCTTCTTGCCGAAGGTCATATAGTTTATTACGGCCCACGAGAGAATGTGCTAGATTTCTTTGAAAGTTTGGGATTCAGGCTCCCGCCTCGGAAAGGTGTCGCCGATTTTCTTCAAGAGGTAACCAGAGACATGTCTCGCTATTATTACGTTTTCTATCTGTTAGATCCTGGGGATATGCATGATGGCATGGAATGCTCAATAGATCAGTAAGTCTTGTGTCAAACTCATGTACAGGTAACTTCAAGGAAAGATCAGCAACAATATTGGGCCGACACAAGCAGGCCATACCAATTTATTCCTGTAGCGCAACTAGCTCGTGCTTTCCAAGATCATCAAGTTGGAAGAGACTTGAAGAGCTACTTGGCGAAACCTTTCGACAAAGGTGGAGGTCACCCTGCAGCTCTAGTAAAAAGAAAATACGCTTTGGGTCAATGGGATATGTTTCGAGCCTGCCTTGCAAGGGAATATCTCCTTATGAAACGAAACAGCTTTCTTTACATCTTCCGAACTTGTCAGGTAAATTTCTAATTGTAAGCCAGTCTGTTCTGTGTGATTGCACGGTCAAATGCAGTAGTAACGATTTGTCCGTAACCTAAGACTTTTAAATACTATGATCAGGTGTTGCTAGGCTTTGACTGATACTTTCCTTGCCTATACATGTACAGGTAGCCTTCGTGGCATTTTTAACATCAACTCTTTTCTTGCGGACGAGACTTCATCCAACTGATGAAAGAAATGGTTCCCTCTACCTCGGCACCTTATTCTTCGCTTTGATACATATGATGTTCAATGGATTTTCAGAGATGGCTATAACTGTGGCACGTCTGCCAGTATTTTACAAACAGCGAGACAATTATTTCTATCCTGGCTGGGCGTTTGTTGCTCCCAATTGGATTCTGAGGTTACCCTACTCATTTATCGAGTCTCTTATCTGGTCGGTTATAGTCTACTATTCCGTGGGACTTGATCCAAGTGCTGGAAGGTATGTAAAGTGTCACTTGGTGAAATTTCAGGACGTATATAGTCTACGTGATTGTTTCAGCTTATATATGGGTCAAAGTCACACTCTACTGCGTACATGCGAGTGGATGATCTTACACGTCTGATGGTTTCATCTCAATTACGTCAAAGTTTATCAATCAGTCGAAGAATTGCCTATGATTGTCGGAAAGTGGCCTTTTTCTAAAATTAACTAAGTTGTATTGTGAATGTATATGAACAGGTTCTTTCGTTATTTCCTGCTTCTGATGGTTGTACATCAGATGGCACTCGGACTGTTCCGTTTGATTGGATCTGTTGGGCGCACTATGGTGATTGCCAATACGTTCGGTTCATTCACTCTTCTAGTTGTGTTCCTTCTCGGCGGATTTGTTCTAGACAAAGGTTAGCACTTCCTGATGAGTTTTTAGGCATGTCGCTATCTCTCATACATGAAACATTATAGTATGTAATTCTTTTGAAAATTTCTCATTGAAGTAGAAAGTGGAAAATTGATGATGGAGTATGCATTGATTGCAGACTCAATACCTGTTTGGTGGGTTTGGGGGTACTGGATATCTCCACTTTCATATGCCCAAAATGGGATTGCGGTGAATGAGTTTCTTGCCCCAAGATGGAGGAAGGTAATTTCACTCGTTCTTGTAGCAGGTCCTTTCAAATAAACATCTATCCTATGCTATGATTGATGATTGATGCATAGGAGTAGATTCTATGATAACTGGGATATAAAGTAATATGTTTACGATCCATGCAGTCCTTGTACCTTTTATCCAGGGCTCATAACTTGTGTGGACTTTTTTTCATCTGCAGCCAAGTCCTGTCGATGGACGACCCCTTTACTTGAACATTCTTCAGGGACGTGGACTTGCCACCGAACCTTTTTGGTATTGGACAAGTATTGGTGCTTTGATTGGCTTCGCTATACTGTTCAACTTTCTCGTCACCATCGCCGTTACAAAACTGAAACGTTAGTTCTCCAATCATAATATTTGTGAAACGTATTAGTAGAATTGAAGGTTTATGCTTAATGTCCTCTCTAACAAAGCGTAGCCTGTCTATCTAACCTATCCTTGATACAACATTACAAATCGCCTAAAGTTGCATGAATTGTTTCTATTATGACAACTGACACATATCTTCACCTTTGATCAGCTTTTGGGAAACCACAAGCAACTTTGCCCGAAGAGGCTCTTCGAGAAAAAGCTGCTAATGAGCATGGTGAAGATGCAGTTAGTGGACCATCAGTGAGGTTTGAGATTAGCAATTTAAGTTTGCGCTCAAGTTCAGTACGCCAGATGCAAAGAGATCACACTCAGCAAAGAATGACAATGCGATCAACTGAAGACACCGTTCATCCCGATCAAGAAGAGCAACAGGCGGAAGAAGTCAAGAAAGGAATGATATTGCCTTTCCGACCTCTTTGTCTTACATTTCATAATGTTTGCTACTATGTCGACATGCCACCGGTAAATAATTTTCTCCATTTAATACAGCATATAGTTAAAAATAGGATAAAGAGATAGTGCATGTCATTTGAAGCTTGTAGCTAAGACGATCCATATAGATGAAAGATCATCTGCTAGGTATGCTCCACGCCTCCGATCTAAGTCACAAGTTTGTAATTGCTAGCATTCCCGCATGCAGTTTGATGCATATGTGGCAATGCTTAGCTGACAAACCTGATCTTCGAATATTCTAGGAGATGAAAAAGAAGGGGGTTGAAAACATCCCTCTGCAGCTGCTGCGAAATGTGAGTGGAGCATTCAGACCAGGGGTGCTGACTGCCTTGGTTGGAGTGAGTGGCGCGGGTAAAACAACCTTGATGGATGTCCTTGCTGGAAGGAAAACAGGTGGTACCACAGAAGGAGACATAAGGGTGTCCGGTTTCGTCAAACAACAACAAACCTTTGCCCGCATTTCCGGATATGTTGAGCAGACAGATATTCACTCTCCACAGGTCACCGTCTATGAGTCGTTAGCATACTCAGCATGGCTCCGTCTTCCTAATTCTGTGGACCAACAAACACGAGAGGTATGTGATTACATATTACAGCCTAAGGTTATGTCAATCTATGAACTTACAGTCTCATCCATGACTTGACCTGAACTAATCACTTCTGCTGTAATGGATCTTGACAGGCCTTTGTGCAGGAAATTATGGAACTTGTGGAGTTAACATCACTCCAACATGCACTAGTTGGATTGCCTGGCAGTACTGGTCTTTCTACAGAGCAAAGAAAAAGGCTCACCATTGCTGTTGAACTGGTTTCTAATCCCTCAATTATCTTCATGGATGAACCAACTTCTGGATTGGATGCCAGAGCAGCCGCCATTGTGATGCGAACAGTCCGAAATACCGTGGACACAGGAAGGACTGTTGTTTGCACAATTCATCAACCTAGCATTGATATTTTTGAGGCTTTTGATGAGGTAAACTACCAGCTCGTCTGTATACAATTATCATTTGTTTCGTGAAAGATACAGTTGAACATTTTGTGCTATAAATAATAGGTTCAGTGAAACTAATATATTGCGGTGATGTCTGTATGAAGCTTCTGTTGATGAAACATGGAGGGCAAGTCATCTACGCAGGATCCCTTGGCAAAGAGTCATGTGACTTGGTGGAATATTTTCAGGTGAAACATGTTCAGTTTAGCTATGCTAGGGCTCACAATTCAGGAAACAGAAACTAATATAGCTAAAACTTTCCCTCAACTTTTCCTTCGTCTCATAAGCTATATCTGTGCAAATCAATACTTCTGTGGCATCTCAAGAAGTTTTTTCATAATTATGCAGGCAGTACGAGGAGTTGAACCAATTACTGATGGCTACAATCCAGCAACGTGGATGTTAGATGTTACTACTCCAGCCAGAGAAAACGCTTTGAACCTAGACTTTGCTGAAGTCTTTAGGAACTCAGATATGTTCAGGTATTCCAACCACTACTATAAACGGCCAAGCAACTCATTCTTTATATCTTTGACATGGAGACCGCTTTCTTTCTGCCTGAAAAAATCTGATCTGAAATAAATTCCCTGTGCAGGAGAAATGAGGCTGTGATTGAATCGCTCACAACTCCTGCTGATGGAACTGAGGATCTCAAATTTCCAACTGTATACTCCAGGAGTATTGGAACTCAATTTTTGGCCTGTATCTGGAAGCAGAATATCACTTACTGGCGTAGTCCCTACTACAATGCAGTGCGATTTTTCTTCACAACAATTTGCGCACTGATCTTTGGGTCTATATATTGGGGCCGTGGGACAAAAAGGTGTAGTAGTCTACATCTGCAATGGTTGAATCAAAATTACGCTTGCATAAAAACATTTAAAATAGGCAATTTGTGCGATCTATTTTGTTGTATGAAGAGTCCAAAGCTCATATATATAGTGGATGGTTTTGCAGGCAGACCCAACAAGATGTTTTAAATGTCATGGGTGCCCTTTATGCTGCCGTGCTCTTCCTGGGTGTGAATAATGCCTCAAGTGTACAACCAGTAGTGGCAGTCGAACGTACAGTATTTTATAGGGAAAGAGCAGCGGGAATGTATTCAAGCATTCCGTATGCCATAGCTCAGGTAAGCGATTTTATTGATGACTCATTAAGTTGCAAGGGCTTGTCGCTAATCAAGACCATATAGCACGTTTTAAACTTTGTATATTTTGTTAATTGATGCAGGGAGCCGTAGAAATACCATACGTTCTTCTTCAAACGATCATTTATAGCTTAATTACCTACTCGATGATCCAATTTGAATGGACTGCAGGTACTCTTCACCTACTTATGCTTTATGTTTATGAACATTATTTATCAAATCTCGTATTACTGATCATATTTGCAATCTGAAGGTCACACTTTGGATTCAGTGTATTGGTACATTTTATTATTTAGTGGATTTTTTGGCGAATCTTAATATTGGTGAATCTTAGGACTTGTATTCGATCTTTAATAGTTAAATAGTTAGTGTAAATTGAATGTATCAAGTAATCTTATTGTTAGACGAAACAAGGGATCGAGCTAAAGAACTAATCCTTATACTTTCTGTTCGTTGCAGCCAAATTCTTCTGGTACTTCTTATACATGTTTTTAACATTTTTATACTTCACATTCTACGGCATGATGGCTGTTGGGCTTACCCCTTCTCAACAGTTAGCAGCAGTAATATCCTCGTTCTTCTACTCCGTCTGGAACCTATTTTCTGGGTTTTTGATACCAAGAACTGTAAGTTTTTGACACTTACTTCTTGCTCGCATTTTTTTATCTTCAGTTTTATTGAATTTATTTTACATATAGCACTTGTCAGGTTGTTACCATTTGGTCTTAAATCTCTGACTTTTCAAAATACAATGCAGGCAATGCCTCCATGGTGGGTTTGGTACTATTGGCTCTCGCCGGTTGCGTGGACTCTAAATGGGCTCGTTACTTCTCAACTGGGAGATGTTGAAACAGTTATGGAGGCTCCGAATGCGGTTCCTGTTAAAGACTACATTGAAGATTTCTTTGGATACAATCACGACTGGTTGGGTTACATTGCAGCGGTGCTCATAGGATTTTGCTTACTCTTCTGGAGTGTTTTTGCCTTCTCAATCAAGTACTTCAATTTTCAGAAACGTTAGTGGACGTGGTTCTAATCATGACGCTTAGTAGGTAGGCTAAATTTGCCAGACATATCACGATGTGTAGATAAGTTGGGAAAAATTACAGGAAGACGCGGCTGAAGTAGGGTTTGTACATAGAAAATTGATAAATTTCACGGCTTTTTTGCCACTCGAGAAATTATTAAGAGTATATAAAGGGAGAGCAACGAACGAGGAACGTACCTGGTAGAAGTGAACTAGATGCAACAAAAGGTAAATATCGCTCTTATATGAAAAATGTGTAATTTGAACCAATCACAGATAGGAAGAAGACTTGAAAATAGCCTACGTCTACAGGCATATTATAGTATAAGACTTGCGGTACGAATGCACGTTCTAGTTTTATAAGTCTTCGCCCTCGGTCACGAGTGTGGCCATGTTTGTACTGATATTGAATCAGGCTATGTCCAGTCATGAATGGGCAGTGCAAAGTGAAAGTAGCCCTAATCCTTATGCTAGATTTCAGTTCAGAAACCGTTCTAACTATTCTGCCATTTTGAGATAAAAATTTCGTCAGTGATCTTACTCGAAGAACACTAGCACAAGGAGTGAAGATGGTTAGTATTGTGCACGGTAATGTGTGATATGTCGACAGTGGATGAGTCGCCGTGCGGACTTGTTTGTACTGTTTGCATGCGTCTCTGGCAGTAGCGACAGCTGCACCATGTAAGTGTTGTAGAGCAACTTTACCAAAGAAGTAAAATAAGGCTATCAAGCTAGTCGTTCACGATACATTGAGCATGTTGTTAATTCCAGAGCAATCATTTTCGGTCTACCAGCCTTTCTTTTTTTCCCTTAAAGCATACGTTATGGTCTTACAATATGTAACATTTGGGTTCCCCCTTCGATTTTGTTATACTAAGCATAGTATATATATACTACGTGCAACTTAGAATTAAATTTAGAAGAAAAGAAAGATTAAAGATTGAAAAATCACTAACTCGCCCGTTACAATCTCGTGTCTATATCATTCGTTGAAATGGAAAAAATCAAGGGATCTCTTTCTGGACTTATCAATTTGTCATTAGGATCTGATACTTCCTTTAAACTGACGTAATACATCAAAATTGCATCAACGGATTAGTTATCCTTGTGAATAAAACACTTCAAAAAGCCTACTCCTGAGCTATAGAGCTGAGCAAAATGGGGTCAGCTCAGGTTATCAGATTTTGTTCTCGAGTATTCAGTACATCCTGCACTCAGATCTCCTACAGAACTATTCAACTATGGCTATTATGCTCCTCACAACTACTAGGCTACCGGAGCAGAATCTAGATTGTTGAACCCATGGGCAAGACCTGCACATGTAGCTTGCTAACAAGTGCATGGGTGGATAATGTTCGCTATGGAAAGGAAGTAGTACTTTGCTTAACTAGATGATGCTGGGTCATCTACTTCACGAGTAGATTCAAATCTCTAATGGAAGTTAATGTTGAGTGGCGAGCCTGTTCATGAATCACCTGTCTTATTTACGAAATAGCAGTTCTTTCGGACTTGCAACACAGCTCCCTTTGGAGCAGCGGCCATACCTATTTCTGCGTGGAGACTCCAAAGTCTGTAATGAAAGGAAAATAAATGGGTTCACAAGAGTGAGCGTTGCGGCTATTGATCGAGTCTGAATGAGAGGAAGGTTACCAGAGAAGATTCAGTGCACTGCAAGGTGCTCTTGTAGACACATTTGATAGATGTCATCTTCTAGTTCCGTACTCCTCACTGCAGAATCCAAGTTAGAAATGTAAGGACCGATCTGTGTGAAGAGAATTTTAATCTCAACTTACTTCAACTACTCATGACTGCACAATTGGAAATAAATCCGCTAGTTGGACCTTGAAGGTCAACGACAAATCTCCACTTTCCGCATTGTCTCGACGTCGGTTGATAAGCATGGATGTAAGTCACCCACTCTGCGATATCTCGCGCGCCTCCGATCACAAAAAGCTCTGACCCGACTACTTTGAAACCGAGACCCCATCCGCTTACATTCCGCCCTCTCTCGGGTATGGCTTACAATCACAAAAAGCTCTGACCCGACTGCTTTGAAACCGAGACCCCATCCGCTTACATTCTGCCCTCTCTCGGGTATGGCTTCCAGCAGATGCCACAGATTCAGGTCTTTTTCGTAGATCATCAACCTATTTTCCAGGATATTGATGGCAAAAAGCTCATTATTTAAAACTGCGACGAGTGGAGGTGCCCCAGTTGCGCTGGGAGCAAAAGCTCGCGGCCACATTCTCTCGATCAGAGTCCATCGCTTGGTCATGGTATCATACAAAACTCCACGCTCCAGTATTTGATCCTTTGTTTGCCCCCTTCATGACGATGAACTTTCTATCCATAATGCATTCGAAGCACAACTTCCTCTCTCTGTTCATGTTCGGAAGCGTTGCCCAGCGCCATGTCTTTCCCATCAAAGCGGTATGTAGTTTTTAGTGTGGAACCTCCTGCGAATGGTTCGGATGTGGCAGAGTGTCAGGTACAATTGCAGATAAATTTACATTTTGGCCTCGTTGCTGAAATACTAGGAAGTTGAGTTATCCCATCCACTTTCCTTCCCGTCAACCACATCAAAAAACACATAGGATCTAAGATAATACTGTGAGTGGAAAATTGCTTTTCTACTTCTTGTTCATTCATCGAGACCAATGCACGTTCCGGACCTAAATTCCAAAATACTTGACCGCTTAAATATGAAAATCTACGAATAGGCTCATTAGTGCCTTCTAGACTCCGTATTATGTCTTGTATAGTGTAGGAAAAGCTATCTATCTAAAAAGAAATTAAAAATACATTATTATTATTTATATCTAAAAAACTAGCCACGTCACAAGTAATTGTCTCTCGAGGAGAAAGGAGTAAGTATCAAAATTTCTAGCTATGTCTTACTACATCATTATAAGCTTTCAACTCAAAACTAGAAACAACACTTTCCACTTGCATGCCAAGAGTACTGCATTGGACTTGACAACTATACTTTAGCTACTCGTGGATCAATTGTATCCACCCATTAACCATCCATGACACCTTGTCCATATCCATTATCCATCCAGTTCATACACATCAATCCATCACCTATTTACGAATACTTTGAAGTGTTTCTAAAAAAAATGGATTTGCCAATGATTTATTGTAAACAGTTACATTCTGATTCATAATTTGATAATCTGATTCATATAGTTCCTTCAAAAGTTCAGTTCAATCACGTTCCACCAAATAAGTAAGATAGAGTAGAGTACTGCGGTCCTAAGCAGCATGAGAACGCAGTCATTTTCAGTTTCCCTCATTTTCTCTTCACCTTTTTATATTCCGATCCAAGATTTCTTAACATTCTATGAAGTTGATGGAGTAAATAAGCAAGCTTTTAACTCTAAAGAGCAGAGAATACCCTAATTTATGAGACAAGATTTCAAATCACATTATCGAGGAGGTCACATATCGATATGTAATCCTGATGTCTAATTTATCCCATAATTAATCATTTTTACTCTGAGTATCCAAAAGGGCAATGCACTATATATCACCATAAAGCTATGTGGGCTATATTCATCGGTGTCTACTTCATGTTAGCTCTCACTCTCTCTTCGTGCAGATGACAATAATGAACCACGAATAAAACAAGCTTGAGCAATATGGGTGGAGGTACAATAATGATGGGGTGTGTTCCGGAAGGCGAGAACAACAATACTTTTGAGGTTTATTCAACACATTGAGTGCCATAGAAGCAATCACTTGAGAGAGTGGGTAATGGATGTATAGTCCTCATCCATGCGTCCAAGCTCATACCCACTACTCATCCACAAGCCTCTTTAAATACGAATTTCTGTCAACGCAGTTCCATATGTTACGTATTTGATTTTCAAAAAATTCTGTATTTCAAAGAATAATAATTTTTCTTCATCTACGAGGCGTAATCAGAGAGTGATAAAAGTTTAACATTCCGACTGTTAAAAGCTCTTAAATAGTTTTTTTGGGTTAAAAATGCGCTCGCAACATTATTTAATTTCATTACAATTTTAGTAATTTGTTGCATGAAGTCCTATATATTTCACCAAACCCGCAACAAAGTGACCATGCAAAGTTGTAAGTCACAAAATTCCGTTTTAATTGAAACACGTGTTACCGTGCATTGCAAGTAATCAATCCTTCGACAAACTTGTTAGAAGTGTTTGGTTGGATTGGCTTGAAGTTCTACATGTTTTGGAAGCACTTTGCCATCTAATCGAGGTCAAAGTTCAACCAGGCGAGTTCCATAATTTGGCTTCTTTTATTACCTCATGAATTTGCAGCTTTTAAAACTACGGGAAGTAGTTCTGGAATATCAAGATCGTTTAGAAGTTTCTTAGCAACAAAACTACATTTATCATATAGTGTATGAACACACGTAGCTTTTGGTCACCATGCCATGCCTTAAATCGTTTGACAAACAAGTCTTATCTGATGTTAGTGAAACTTCTTTTCTTATTGAGTTTTTTATAGGATTAGCGTGTCCATTTCCAAACAATGTCACCTTATAAAGCAATTTTTCAATTCTGAAACGGAAAAAATATCTTCACATATCAAAAGTAACATCCATAACTCTCAAAAGAGTATTCAAATTCAAATATATTTGAAGAAAACAAGAGAATTTTGTACTTAGAATACATATTTTGTTTTAATGATAATCTTCATTTGGTTGAAATATGGAACATACTGAGAGGTCGATTTCATCTACAACAGCTAGAGCGTGAATGTGATTCAGGTAGAGGAGAAGACCTTCTTGAAGCTTTTCAAGACACCTCGCTCGCACAAGAACGAATGGTGGACAATGGAGTACCGCAATCGATTGAGACGCAATGTGATGATGGCACTTATGCAGCATCTAAGACGGTCAAGAATGACTTACATGGCAACATGGCAGGTTGGGTTTGTGGAATGCGTGGTTTCAGGGAAGCCAGTTCATTGGGCTCGCATTTGCCGGAGTACTACTCGCAAGAACGTCGAAGAAATATTTGGGGGATCGATAAACTATCTGTCTCCTTTTTTTATCAATTTCTACCGAGGATTGGGTTGCTGACTACAACAGAGCAGTAGAAATTCCCCCTAGAGAGGAAATTGCAGACGATGAAGAAGTGCTAGGAGTTAATGAAGTTGTCAATGAGAAGCACAACATTGAACTTGCACCACCTTCGGCTAAAGCTGACAAATTAGAAGAAGACATCGAGGAACGACCAACAAAGAAACGACGGAAATTGCAGAGGACTACGACTTTGGAGATAATGGGTCAGTGTGCACGATTGCGGGCCGAAGACCGATTTCTATGCGAATGAGCACAGCGAGTGTGCATTTTCGTAGCAAGATGAAGGCACGACGCCAATAGATAGAGGAAGAGTATAGGTAGGTGTAGCAAAGCAACTTCGTAGCATACAATAACTTCGGCAGAGTGGGCTGAATTTGAAGTGTAGGCTGCAGAAATAAAAGACGAATGGACTTCAGAGAAGGGCCTTTAGTGTTCGGAGTGGCGACCTTCGGACTTGTCCATGGAAGGGCCGTTGGAGGAAGGGAAAGAACGAGAAGTTGAGACCGAGATAGAGACTTCGGATCAATGTCTTCGATCTTTGGAACAACCGCCAGCGACTTCGATTGAAGATCTTTGGCCTTCAGGTAAGGAAACTTCGGATATGTCTACAATGTTGAAAGAGTCGGCGGTGAAGCCCAATTCGGTTGAAGAACTTTTGGATCGAATGATGGCGGAAGTGAAGAAGACTATTGCGGAGCAACCGGCGATGCCTTCGTATCAAGTGTTCTCGGGTATAGTCGATTTAGATTGTAGCGAAGGAACTTAGGCCGAAGAACCGAAAACAACAAAGCTAAGTGTAGTTGACATTTTGAGAGATCGGATAGTTCCCTTACTCAGATATTTAGATGGGAAGATGGCGAAGTACGCGGAACCAGAGTTAGCAGGATTCTATGTAGAGTTAGTGCGTAGTAGGATGAACCAAAAGGTGACAGCACTTGTAGATGTAGCAGAAAGAGTGACAAGCTTAACTTCAGAGTGCGCGGCCAAGACAACTACCTTGCAGGAGCAGAATGAGCAATTTCGGCAGAAGGAGTTGAAATGTGCAGAACTTTGGAGAAGTTTGGCAGCGGAGAACTACTTGATATGAAGACGGAGCTTGAATGCAAGGGCCTTCGCGTTGCATCAGAAATGCGCAAAAGTTAACAGTGAAACTTCGGGACAAATTGAAATTGTCTCTGAAAGGATTTGCTAGAGAATTCAAGTGCGCGGAGGAGCTGACAACAACTTTGGCAGTATGAGATAAATTGCATGCTGCTGAATCGAAGGCGAAGGAATTGCAAGATTGCAAAGCTTTCCGAACTTCAAAGTTAGAGCATAAGAAGGAATTGGACGGGGATGTAGCGAAGGGATTGCAAGATTGCAAAGGTGTCCGAACTTTAGAGTTAAAGCATAGGAAGGAATTGGACGCGGATGTAGCAAATTGCGTTCTCAATTGTTGGCAGTTGAGGAGCAATTGGTCGCGGCTCAAGCAAAGTTAACGGAGACTACAGTCTAGCAGTTGGAACAGCAAACGGATGCTGCAATTCGTGCGAGGTTAGAACGATGTCTTCACAGTTATGTGGAATGGGAGTTAGAATTGAATGTGATTTTACTCAACATCTTAGAAACACAGCATAGAAAATGCTGTGTTTCTAAGAGTGACATGTGTCTTAGAAGTAAAACTCTTCAATAGAATGTTAGTTCGTGATGGTACTTGAATCTCTGGTGTTGTTTCTGTTTTCATCGTGGTATCGGATGTTTATCATTATACTACATTTTGGGAATTATACGTTACTACAAGAAAACTAGATATTTCCACCTTTATCACATTCTACTTTAATTCATGATCATTTTCTCCACTTCCCTGGAAGTGAATGTCTACAATAACGCGATCAAACTTTTGCTTTTAGGACGAAACCCCTCTGCAGAGCGAGCATACCTTACAGCTAATAAGTTAGCAGTTTCAGGTAGCATTGTGGATGAAATCTTATACAAGTCCACACGCTCTGGTCATTGTCGAGGGGGGAAACTTCACAACCTATGACAACGACTGAATGCATTGGCAATCGGATGAGCTTCCTGATCAGGTCACATAGACATATATAGTACTCCTCTCCTGTAGTTTCTGACTGAACTCAATGGATCCCATCTGAAGTCAGTCTGTCTGACCATATTGACGGACATCACACACGGCGAAGAAGAAAAGAGTGCGAAAAGACTTGCGGTTTGCCGATGTTACAACGACACAACTGGAAGATTGAACTCTACGCAACAAGCAAGTATATTCCATATGAATTTCAACGGGCTTGAACCATAAGAATGGGCTGCCGGAACTCGATTCCGAGGTTAAAACAATTTACAAATTGCATGGAATTTATGACAAATGGGCCTGGGATTATTGACTAAAATCGCCTGCTCCTACTAACCATCACCTGTGTGACTATTCCCAGTCTGATAGTCCACACACAAGCCATTGAATTGCAATGTGTTCATCCTCACTCTAGATTTTACTTATTCCTCATCATTTCGTCCTCGCTTCCAAGGATATGAACGCCGTTCGCGTTGTCTACCTATGCACTATGGGGCACCTGGGCTCGTGGAATTGTCGAAGAATATCCAACTGGCGTCATTCACTTCCTCAAATGTGTACCCGAGGGCGTTCAAATCCACAAAGTCCCTCACTTTGACTCTCCTCATCACCGCATTCTCATCCCAGAAGAGAAATGTTGTATCGAGCCAGTCTGGGTCAGTCGGATCGTCATTGCCGTAGCCCAGCTTGCGCCACACGCTCCAGAGTCGGTCCATGTTCGCATGGAAAGGGTAAAATAGAGGGTCGATGGGCGCAGTACTGGGCTGCCTCATCCATCCTCCGATCCAAGCGTGCAGCGTATTGTGTGGCCACAACTCGATCGTACCAGATCCTGCCGATGGGATCACAATTCGCGCGTCTCCGACTCTGTAAGCCTTCCCGATGAAGCTGGTGGTATTTGCGAGGGTGATCATCGATCTGTGCATGATTTCTCTGTTCATCCGCGTTTGTTCCTCCACGGTGTTGTTGGGGAAGATGGGAAGGCCCAGTAGAGGGTTCAACTGCGAAAGGTCGAACGCTATGTCCACGGGCCTATTGGGCTCGAAGGCCATGAAAGAGCGATTAGCTTCAAATGTTGCTTTCGACGGCTCGTTGTACATCGGCGGCACGAAATGACCAGCCTTGTAGCAGCCATGTGATCCATGTCTTGGGGTCGCTGTGACGCTGTTGTCGAAATTCCAGAAATGAAGACTGAATTCGGGATCTCCGAGCAACTTCTGCAAAATCTTTTCGTGAAAGTACACGAACATGCGGTGCCAGGGCAGGAAGTGCCAATTCATGTGAACGTCGATGGTGAGGTCGATGGTGAGGTTGGTGGAGCCATCCTGGATGAAGGAGCCCGTCCCGTAGGCACAATGAATCTCGTTCTGCCTTTTGAAAGAGCGCGGATCACTGTCTGGAAGAGCGCGCATCAGAGCGTATCCTTTCTCCAACTTACGCGTATAGGTCTTCAGCTCATGGCCACTGAGACATTGTAAGGCCTTCCTGACCCTCAACGGTTTAGTAGCATCGTATTGCGGGCAGAAATCGACAATGGGTCCTTTTATGATCTTGGGAGGGCAGCAATCAGATGGATTTCCGAACCAATTCCCCGGACGGCACGTTCTAAACGTTTCCCTTGTGATATTGATGGGTGCGGCTAGAGTGGTTGTCAGCAGAATGGAAAGGAGACATTGAATAAAGAGAACTGGGGCTACAATAGACGCCATGATGTTTAGAACGTCCAGAAATGTTGTTGGATCTCTAAGATTTCCAGAATAGCCGTCTGTGAATGAAAAAAGTATAAAATTTGACGTTGGACTCCTACCTGAAGAGAACATCAGCGAAGTCATGATTCCATAGGAAATATCCTTAAATCAAATCTTTCATCACAGATCTTCTTACGACTGAATACGAGAGGATGCAATGTCATTTAGCTAATGTCAGATACAAAAGATGGAAGAAGTGTCAATTTCACAATGATATCTGGATCTCAAGTTTGTGAGGTGAACTTAAATGCAAGATGAATAACTAATGAAGAGGAAAATGTAAGTGCGGAGACGAGATTCCGGTTGCAGCTAGATACAAAACTTTCATCTCGTATATACGAGATACATGACCAGCAATCAGAAGACGTATTACATAGAACAATCAAAGAAACATCTCATACGTCCATATACCTGGAGCTTTGGGTTGAACTAAGAATGGACTGGTGATGAGCTCGCGGCCATGGGATAGCCACCACCGTCGAAGTCCCAAGCTCCAGGAAAGAACAGCCACTGATGTGAAGTCGCTCATGAAATCTCAGACTTTATTGACTTTAGGGTCGAGTGTAAAAATTATAGTATTGAAAATCGAATCTTTTACGTAAAAGTGCACATTACGTTAAAGTGTAAAAGTCACATTCACGACATTAGCGCAGAAGAAATATAGAATCATTACTGAAGTTTCGGAAGATTTTATGTACGACATGGGCATGTCTGATGATCAACGTACGTATCTGAGAACCCAATGCCACTTTTTAGAGCAGAATAAAGCGAGCTGGCGAAAGCAGTGGCAGCTCTGACTATTCACGTGAATGTGTCTGCGAATAACGAAATTGTTGATTTTGTAGTAGAATGCAGACAACGTCAAATTTAATTATAGAATACGCATCGAGGGCTTTCCTCTCATAAACTTTATCTTGCGACGTGAAAACATGCCGATAGTTTTCAATTGTACGGAGAGATCTCTGGACTGCAATTACTCTCTACGCAGCACAAGGCATGGTTACTTCACGCAAGATTGAAGTACTGGGCTTTATTATTGACGCAACATCTTAAACAATATGGTCGTGTGCAAGGAATGATACTACTCTGTCCAGTTCAAGGAGATACAGTGTGGTTTTTTGAGTCGAAGACCAGATAGAGAATCATTATCATGCATAAGTCATTTTTGAAGCTCTGCTGTTCCTGCAGATTTCACTTTCTTTTCTAGTTTCAATTTCTCTCTCATGACCATAGCTGTGTGAGTGAGTGTGAGGACTGGCACTTCGTCTGATTGCAGCGCATCAAAATTCATCGAAGGACACATCCTCAATTCTTGCCGCTGAAGCTTGTGACCTTTGACTTCACGCGCCGAAACAATGCAATAACAGGCCTTCCCACTTGAAATAGTATACATTCATATAGTTTACAAGAGGTTCGGTTAATCGCGATTCATACTTCCTTTGTGATCAATCTGTGAAACATGTGAGCACCTGCTTCTTCGGGTTATGTGGTTTTCTTCTGTAATGCATTGCCCTCCACAGTCTATACCAATGGCGAACACATTGGATCTGTGGATGGCCCACGGCGCGTTCCAAGAGGCCGTGAGAGAAATTTTCTTATTACAGAATCACTTATTGGGCTTTACTTGTCCTCTGGCGGGATTTAGGATTTCCACTCGGAAGGCCTTTTGGCGCTGGGCCTTCTTCTTCGGCTTTGGGTAGCAGGCCTGCTTGTGGGACTAGGGGGCTGAAGGCATAACAACCAGCTGAAGGCTGCCCTTGAACGACTGGGAGTTCATAAGCTCTCCCGCATCTGAAGTGCAAGTGCTTGGTGGGTTTCGTCAGTGAAGAAACTGATCTATACCATCCATTTTCACCTAGTACTCCTTGTTGGTCTCAAGTGTTGGAAGCATCGAATCAAAGCAACAAAAAATGCTTTTTAAAACTCTTAAAACTGATGGGAAGAACTCACGAAATAATAAGGAGATAGGGCTAGCCCCAATTCAAGACAATGAAAAATATCATGTCGTGCATTAATATGCTGCAAATCCTTTAAAAACATTGCTCTCACTTAACTATTGGAGCCCACTAAGTCTTCACGAGTAGTTATTTTATCTGTTTATGCCATAGAACACTTATGAAGTATTAATTAGAGAAACTGTCAAAATAATATCATGCTCTACTCTTTGACAGTTTCACTCATAATTATACCATATAAAAAGAAGGAAAAGCTTGCCTCATATAACATGAATCACATAACCCTCCCTATTTAATTATCAATACAGAATTAAAACATCCTCAAAACCCTAAACACATTCAACCGTAAGATTGACAAAAGAAATCAATTCCAAGTAAATCTATTAAGGTCTTGATGAAATTGAATATTAATCCAAGTATAATTTATATCATGTTCATGGCACAAAGTATACATATCACAAGGAATTTCCGTCAAGTCGTGCATGTCTATCGCATAATTCTCACCAACAGCTGATTGCGGTCGAGATGGAAGTACATCGCAAAAATACCTTCTTCAGCTTCCAATTTGACTAGTGTAAGCATTAAAATCCTCACCCTTTGGCATTTTAGTCCGGGTGGGGGTCTAAACAAACATGACTACTAACTTACACTACTAAAATTTCATTACGGCTGCACGCTACAATAGATCAACACCTTATCGACTAAGAAGATACTTTAACACTCTAAACGAGCTCGGAAGGCATCTCGAATTACCACCAACCTTCAGCTCTCTACCATAAAATTACTACTCCACTCCAAATGAGCTCGTCACCCATCTCCTATCGCCAATACCCTTCAGCCCTTCAGTTCCTCACTCTTCTCCTCGCGAAAGAATAGAGCACCAACAAAAGAAAAAGGGGACACCACGACCGTCGCACCCCCACTTCTATACCTAAGCCGCAGCTACAAACTTGCATAATGGCTCCCAGACCCTACCAGGTCAACCCTAACCTGATCGCCGCAAGATCCGAGAGAAAAACTAGCGCCTGACACCTTGCACGCAATTGAGCATCACATCCAAATCCTTATTCTATCCATCTCCACACATCCCAAAGACATATCCAAGTCATCAGTTTATGTATTTCACTCCATGAAGTTCTGTTGTTCACGCTAAAGCTGCTATTGCCCTCCTCTGGGCTGACTTTTCATCACCTTAATACCTTTCTAGTACAAATCATCAATCCCATCATGTTTGTCGAAACAATCTACTCTAACTCCTCTTCTAAAAACTCTAATAAGGGTTTGAACCCTTTGTTCATGCCAGCAATATTGATCCATATGTTCACAACTTTGACAGAGAAAGCAGCCAGCATTTTCACCTCTTGGCTTTTGTATACATCACATGCAATTCCTACTACCCGAAGATCAGGTCTTTCAAGCCTAGGCAGACCCAACAACTCCATCTGAGCTTCTTGAGTTGAAATTGTGCCACTTTGCTCTTGTACCTTAGCGCAGAGTTCTTCTTCTTCTTTTACTGCTTTAGAGCTGCGAGAAGTTACCACAACTTTGTCTCCATGTTGCAAAAACTCTCGAGCTAGAGCTTTATCCAATTCACAAGTAACTCCAGCAATTACAACGGTCCAACATCCAGCATTGGCATGATTCTCAAGGACCTGACGTGTTCCGATCATAAAACCAGCTACAACTCCCGCAAGCCAATCAAACCACATCCCCCCTTGCTCATGAGGAACTACCACCAAAGAACTCAAAGCCTACTGCCAATACAGTTCTTGTTTCGATAGTAATAGAGACGTAGTTTTCTACTTGCGTCGAAAAGGACATGAAGTACAATTTGACCCTCTATCAAGTTTCACGAAGTTTCTTCCTCAACGGACCAGCTGGAGACAGGGTTTGACAAGCATGGCTGAAAACCACCTGATCACTCTAGAAAGGCGCCACAAAACGTCGGAGCTACATCCCGACATTTTGACTTCAGCATTCTAGATTTCACGGGGTTGCCTAGATGTGTTGTGATAACAAACAAATACCAGAATGGAGCATAATGGTAGAGATTCGTTTCCACAAGGACAGAATTAGCATCAAAGATTCAAGAACTGTCAGTAATTAACATTCTATTGAGTAGTTTTACTTCTCAGGCACATGTCACTCCCACATAACACTGCTCGGCTATAGCCGAAGGTGCGCAAAGCAGTGTATAAACACCCACAACCTCAATTAGGTCCAATAAGTGCCTGCAAGAATCGCACCCGATCTTGCACTTAGTATTTAGGGAGAAACTTCACAGAATTGTAATCTCAGCCGACTGCTCTGAATACCTGAATTTAAACTTGCTTAAATCTTGAGCGACGCCAAGCACATTCTAGACGTTCAAAAATGGACACTCACGACTTCATATGCGGTATCTTTGACAAACTGAAGCGCATCATGCACGGTGACAGACACACATAACCTCACAAACACTCACGATAGACATAGGTTGAAAGCTGAGACAAAACAATTAAAAGAAAAGTACCCCGAAGTTTGAACCTTGGGCCTCTTTATTCCTAACTAACTCACTGAGATGTCATTCGCTGTGATGCGAGCCCCCAACAGGTGTGACGCCAGCCCGGCAATTACCACGCCTGCTAAGCTCCTATATACTCCTATCCTACTCAAAACGGCTGGCAGTTCCAATTCCTGGTTCTCCTTTGTCTCTTCCAAACCGGAAGAGACAAAAATCACTAATCTAATTAACTGTCGATGTCCGACGGTTTTGATGGCCTCCAATTACTTCAATCTCCGCTCTAGCAAGTCCAATTTCTTCCATGTCAGCGTCTGGATCTCCCACTTGACGAAACCGCGCAGACATCTCTCAACCCGCAATTGCAAACTGTCGTCTGCTCTTCCAATTGTCGAACTGTCAATTTTGTCGCGTCCACTCTTGCTTACGACATCGCTCACTGCTCCTCAAGCGTCTTCAATTGGGTTTGCAACCAATCGCCATCTGCATCCAATTTTACTCTACACTTGATCTCCGAAGACTTAGCAGCCTTGCACTTAGTCAATTTCTACGTCCAACTAGTCAATTCGGACTCGTGCTTCTATGTTTGCTCCGCCAAACTCCCCGTAAGCTCATTCACACGTCGCGACTGCACACTGTGCGCTTCCTTGCGTGCCTCGATTCTTTCCGAAGATCCATGGATACCGTCTTCATCGTGCCAATCTCTCACCGAAGACCTTCGGTTCTCAATTCTTTCTCCTTACAAAGTTCCTTCTCCTTGACTAATTCCCGCCAAAGAACTTTGCACTCCATTTCCTTTGCCCTAAGTTGCTCCTCACGACCCTTCAGAGTTGTAGTCACTGCATCACACTCTCCATTCACTCTCGCAACATTCTCCGCGTTCTTCACCAAAGCTGCTCTCTTGCTTCAGGTCCTATTCCTCAGCAACTTTACATAGAATCCGGCCTCTTCCAATATCAAGTACTTCTTTTGCTTCCCGTATAAGTATTTCAGCAAGGGAACCACACTGTTCCGCAAGAAATGAGGAAAAGTAACTACTGCTTTCTTCGGCACTTCCATCAAAGATCTCTACTT